ATTATTATTATTATTATTATTATTATTATTACACGGTATAAACGTGTACAAAAAAAAAGATTTATTTTTATTTGTTATTTATTATTATTATTATTATTATTATTTTAAATATTATTATGTTTATAATTGCTACTATCGATTATTCTTAGCACATTCATTGACCGCACATCTTGTTTATTCTCGCTTTTCCTCTATTTCTATTTCTATTTCTATTTCTGTATCTATATCTATTTCTATTCCTGTTTCTATTTCTCTGTTCTTTCATCTGTAATTCACTACTGTCTGAGATTTTTCCGCATTTCTTTTTCTCTTGCTTTCCTATCTACTTTCTCTTACTCTTTCTCTTTCTCTTTCTCTTTCTCTCTGATTTAATCTATCTTTGTCTTCTGATCATATTACGTATCCTTGCCTTTTTCTAAACTATCTGCTTTCGCGGTAACGAACCATTTATCATTATCAATAAATTTTTATCAAAGACCACGAATTTCTCTCCTATATATTAGTTTATTAATCGACAAATTAAAAAAAAAAAAAAAAAAACAAATTAATAATAATAAAAAAAATATAAATAAATAATTTTTTTGTCTAGAAAATTTGTGCACATAATATCCTTCTGCGTTTCACAAGATCCAATTACGTGTTCATTAGATTAACGTTATGGTTAAGAAAAATAGTAAAAAAGAAAACAAAAAGCAGCGGTCTTTCCTGGAGCTTTTGAATCTTTTTTCGTTTGTAGTGAAATTGTTCTCTTCGTACGCGGGATGACTAAACCACGAAAAAAAAAAAAAATAAAATAAAATAAAAGAAAAAAAAAACAAGGAGGAAGAACAAAAATATAATACTTTCATCCGACCACATGAAAAAGCTTTTGTATCGTTTTAAGTATATGAACTACTCGTAAAAAGTTTGAGAAGCTGAAAGCTAACGTACAACGGATGAAAAAGAGAGAGAGAGGGAGAGAGAGAGAGAGAGAGAGAGAATGAGAACGGGTGAATATTCGTGAAATTTTATTTTTCCCGCTCACAATGTTCCTAGAAAAAAGAAAAAAGAAAAAAGAAAAAAAAAGAAGGTGCATTTTATTTGGTATCATGGAAAGAAAAATCCGTGAGTTGCTTATTAAAAGTGCATCCATTCTCGTTCCGCGGATTTAAAACGAATACAAATTCTTTTTTATTTGTTAAAACTTTGAAATTGGAATTAAAAATTCGATTCGAACTTGGAGAAACGCGGTGAAGGGGCAAAGAATGAAAAGTTTATGAAATATTTTCAATGCGTACAATCCAACTTATTACACGATTTAATATTTGGAAAAGAGAGAAAAAAGAAAAGGAAAAAGAAAAAGAAAAATGAAGATAAAAAATAAAATAAGAAAAGAAAGAAAGAAAAAACAAACATAGAAAGCAAATTATTCGTTCGTTCATCAGTTATCACGTGTCAAGAATCAGAATTCAAATGAACATGAAATCGTAATGGAATAAAAAGAGAATCTATAGGAATATTACGTCGAACTTTTGAATGCAAGAAAATGGTATGTGAGGTAAGTAGATGATATACGGAATGCGAAAGAAACGACCAATTTAAATATGGAACAAAGAGAAGTTTTGCTTTGGTTGCTTGACGGTACTGTGGTGATTGTGGTTACAGTGGAGCAGAGGAAATGAAGGAGGATGTGGGATGGGGAGGGGGTGGGGTGGAAGGTGGAGGGGTTAGAAAACAAGGATAAGCGAAAATCTCATAAAGAATGTTCACGTATATACGTATAATACAAAAACGTATTACATATATACACGTAAATATGTATATGTATATATATATATGCAGAGAGAAAGAGAGAGAAATTCGTGGTACGCGATGCTTTCAGCATGTATATGCTGAAAAGGAGACGATATCGATTGGCAATACGTTTTTGTAACCGAGGCCAGATATGGAAATATGAACGTGTCAGGCCGGTTCCAAAATTTAAAACAAATTTCTCCATCGTCCTTGGCCCGATTGTTCAAAATGACGAATGAAGCTTTTCGGTGCTTTTCAATAGTACTTTGGCATCCGATACGCTGATTATCTTCTTCTTTACATTACTCCTTTTCCATGCTAGTTGAGAAGTCGGTCGTACGATTAAATCGGGACGCACGGATATCGGGACGTGGATATTGTTGTGATGAAAAACGTAGTAACGAAAAGAAATAGATAGATAGATAGATATATATGGAGAAAATGATTTGATTAGACCATTGTATGAAAATATGGCCCAATTGGTTTCGTCTTCGCCAATCGATAAAGTTATCCAAAGATCAATGGATTTTCCTATTCGAATAATGATTTTCAAATGTTGTCCATATTATTTGTTCGATCCATTTTAAATAGATATTAACGCAAGAAGATTGGAACGTGGTGCTTTTCAATGGTATGCAGAAAACATCTCACTGGGCTGCCCTCTACTTCGTAGCTCTGATGACATTTGGAAATTACGTACTGTTCAATCTTCTAGTCGCCATTCTCGTGGAAGGTTTCTCATCCGAGGTGAGCCTCATCAATTAAGATATTATGTTGATAATCGAAAAAGGGAAAGGGTTATTAATATTTTATTTTAAACTTTCGAAATTCCGGAAATATTCTAACGAGGAAATAAACTCTTTAAGATATATGACCCTTAACATTTAATCGCAATTTTGCGTAAACCCTTTAAACGATCGATTTGACGATAAAACAAAACACCGTGAAAGTAGACGTTCAAACCCCTATCTTCCATGTTACTGCGAGGATATTCAACCGTAAGAAGTAGGTAAAGCTATCTAAGGATCGGCCAATGTATTCATTCCATGTACATATATATATATATATATGTATATATATCAACCTACCCACGTTCTTATGTTGCGTGGCAAAGTTTACGCTCTCGTGATAATGCGACATTACGCCATTGGCATCGAAAAACCTTATCGTGTTCCTTCTACTCTTTAAATCTTTCTAAGGAAATTAATAGACTGGAACCGTTTCGTTATCGCTTACGAAATTACGCCGTAGATTTTATTTCTTGTTAAAAACGTGAAGAAAATTCCAAACGAGATTTCTTTCCATCTTGTTATTATATTTGATCTCTCATTTTCTTCTTCTTCTTCTTTTTGTTCTACTTTTTTCTTTTTTACTTTTTTTATTACGCGAAATTTCAACTATCTATAAGATTAAAAGGTTTTTTGATCGGTTCATTATTATCGGCACGCGTTTACAGAGAAACGAAAGGAGAGAACGAGAACAAAGAGAGATGGCCAAGTTGGCAGCAAAAGAAGCAGGAATGGGTAGCGAGGAAGGATCTTCAAGGGTTTCGAGATCTCATTCGATTACCGACAGCGACACGTATACACAGGTACGAGATATTAAAAAATATCAAATCCAATTCGTACAAGATCCGAATAAAACTTTAAATATTTTTTTCCTTTTTGACATTATCAATTCTTCACGTTGTCTCGTCGATTGATTTCAACAAGAAAAATATGTAAAACAAAAATAAAAATAAAATAAAATAAAATGATCTCCAAAAACAGTATATATATATATATCGTATAAAGATAAATTTGTTTGCTCGTAGGAACGAAAAAATTCTTGGCAAAGTGCGGAGGAGCTTAGAAAATACAAGGACAACAGTTGTAGGGAAAAACAGAACAGCAGTTGGAGGCAACGTATAGACGAGCCAAAGTGCAACATTCAAAAGGAAAACAAAATGATGAGTGGCGTTGGTCAACCACCGATAATCACACATACAGCAGCCACTCCTCAAGACTCGCCAAACACAACACTCGACGTTGGTTACAGAGACCTTAATTATCGTGCGGTTTTTCCACCGGCTGCCACCCTTTCCTTTGAGTCTATCGACCGGACCGGTGTATGTACTCGATCATAGTCGATCTAACTTGCAAACTTTCGATATGCTCTTTAACTTTCTCTCTCTCTCTCTCTCTCTTGTGAATATGTTCCTGAACATGTATCAACATCATCCTCGACAATTCTGTTTGGCCTGAGGCTGATCATTTTCTCGTTAACTACTTCCTTTTCGATCGAACGAGTTCATCGTATGCGTATCGCATTTAAAACTCGAAAATCTAAAAATCTCATTTGGATTTATAATTTATTCGAACATCTAAATAATCGTTTATTTATAATATATATATATGATGCCGGGATAATTATGACGGTAATCGGAATTAATTTCATGATTTATTCTTTAATCATTAATTCTTATATTATATTAATATGTAGAATATTTTTGTTTTTACTCATTGGATCAATCCATTATCATAATTAATCCGGTACATAAATAAATATATATATATATTTCTATTTAAAGATCGAAGATTTTAATAACGATATTGATTTTCAGAGTCAATGTAGTATACCATCAGGATTATTAAAGTTACCAGACAATGGTGGTAGCAAGTTTTCAACGAACAATTTGATGGCCGGACAATTTCCCAGACGAATAAGCCTAGTAACCGCGGTGGTAAATCCTTCCTCGAGAGAATTCTCAAACTCCAGGTAGTAAATACTATTGATAGTGGTGGTGGTGGTGGTGGTGGATTCGGTTAATTATCCCATTTGGATTAATCACCGTTATCTCTTTCTATTATTCCTACGTATTATCTCAGTCCACCGAGAATACATAGAGGATACTCTTGGCGTTTGTCTCGGCCATCTTTGCGAAGAAAACGTTGGTCCCAAAGCGACGAGGAACAAGCCAGTCGAACGATCGTTTTGAACAATGGCAGAAGTGCCTTTGGCGGTTCCAATTACACGTGAGTACGAAAGAGAGTAGTAGTAGATGACTATAGTTCTCGGTTGGGTCTCGTAAAAGCTTTTATCCCATCTCAAGCTTCGTTGTCTTGTCTTTGTTGAGATGTCTTTGTCTACCTACCGTTCTTGTAACTTCCTCCTTTCCTTCCTTCCTTCCTGCCTTCCTTCCTTTCTTTTTTTTTTGTTTTTTATTTTGTTCTTTTTCATCCCTTCATTTTTTTCTCCGTCTTGTTGATTCATTCAATTAACGAAGCACAGTGTCTCCTCGCGAGACTTTTATTGAGATCACTCGAACGTACTGTGATTACACCCCTTCGATTTAAATCTTTTTCTATTTTTTTTTTTTGTTTTTTCCGTTATTTCAATTCTTTTTCTTCTTTGTGTTTTTTTTTCTTCTTCTTTTTTTCAGCTTCAACGGTGGTTATTTGCATGGCTCGATAAGAAACGACACGCAATGCGACGCGCCCAATAATCGAACGACCGTCCTAACGAGCAATAATCGCAGCCTCAGCCCCAACAATTCCATCGAAAGCCGCGGCTCATCGATGCGCCGTTATACGGCCACGCCTAACCAGGCATGTAAACTAAACAAAAGAACACAAAAATAAAAGAAATAGAAACATTTTATACCGATGTAATCGATATCAGACACGACCTGTCTTTTATCTTTTCACTTAATGCTTTTTTTCTTTTCTTTTTTTTTTTAATCATAGAGTACCTTTCGGAAAGGGCTTTCCCATCCGACAACATCAACCCCTGGTTGGTGTCATATGAAAATTGACATTCAATTGATAATTGAATATGCATTGAATTCAATCGAAATATAAGATTTGATATTTAATCAATTTGCATCATAATTTCATAATATATCCGATTAATTTCATCAATCAGAAATACACACTAAACTGTTATTTTATTTCAAGTTATAAAATTATATTATTTTTCAATCGTAATTTAGAATTAGATATACAAAATTTCGTACGTTTGAATAATAATTGAATTGGTTTATGCACTAATTGCCGAGATTATTTTCAAGCACGGTAATAAATGATCGGCATCGTTTACTCGTTATTACGCTTTACGGATGCAAATGGCTTAAATATTTATCGTTAATTCTACGTTTCTCTATTTGGCTTATATATTTATTTGTATTCTAGAAATTGTATGTTAATTGAATGAATGGATGAAAGATATGATAATGACACCATAAACAAAATCATAAAATGTGTCATTTATTCAAATCATATTTTGATAATTAACAATGAAAACAAAAAAAAAGAAGAAGAAAAAAGGAAATATTCATTAAAATGATTTTACATGTTTGAAACAGATGCGATGGATCGGGGAACTCTCGCGAAGAAATTCTTTAAGGGGATACGAAAACGTTCATGGTACGGGTAGAAAGAGCATGGTGTCGGATGATATGCCGGCACCATGCTCGACGCCTCGTACGATAAACAATTTGTCGATGGAAACCGGAACACTGCCGAGAATAAAGCCTCTTCCGGATCAGGATGACGATCATTCGCGTACTGACGATCAAACACCTCCTTCAAATGGCCACGGTAGCGCCAGCAGCGTTGAAAGGATCAAGAAAATTTTTATGTTCTTCGAACCGAAGGGTTGTCTCAAGGAACGCGACGATTATGCGCTTTATATATTTTCGCCTAACAACAGGTTCGAATAACTTTTCTTTTGCTTTAGTTGTTTTTTTTTTTGTTACTATTTCACTTATGTTAGTTAGAGAATTAAATAATTACAATATTGAATTTTATTCGACGGGGTTTTCTTTTTTTGGATAGATTTCGTGCATTCTGCCGTTGGTTCGTCGATCAAAAATGGTTCGACAATGCGGTACTATTCTTTATCGGTTTGAACTGCATCACCTTAGCGATGGAAAGACCAAATATACCCTCGCACAGTCGTGAGAGATTATTCCTCTTGACTGCCAATTATATCTTCACCGCAGTATTTGCCGTAGAAATGTTTATCAAGGTAGTTTGATAATATGATATAAGAATTTTTAAAAAATACATTTGAAATATTGATCCTTACCACTCCTACCTATATCGATATCATATTTCTTCCATCAACTTTAATATCGAACTAGACTCGATATTGTAAAATGTAATTTTTAAAATATTCTAAAATTAAGGAGAGTGCGATAAGGTTTAATTGATATTATTTAAATATTATATCTCGATTATATATTTGTTTGATTTCGTCTCAGGTCGTAGCAACGGGGATGCTTTATGGTTCGGACGCTTATTTCACGTCAGGCTGGAATATCATGGATGGATCCTTAGTTATAATATCAATCGTCGATTTAATGATGTCATTAATTTCTTCCAGTAGTCCAAGAATATTTGGTATCTTAAGGGTATGTGTATTTTATTTGTTAAATTTTTCTTTTTCTTTCCTTTTTCTTCTTCTAAATTTCGTCTTAGTAAAAGAGATTTTAATCATCATCATTATTATTATTATTATTATTATTTTATCTAACAAATATAAGTTTAATTATTTTCCCAGGTATTTCGTTTGTTGAGATCGTTGAGGCCATTGCGAGTAATCAATCGCGCTCCTGGATTAAAGTTGGTCGTCCAAACTTTATTGTCATCTTTACGACCGATCGGCAATATCGTTCTGATATGTTGCACCTTTTTCGTGATATTCGGAATTTTGGGTGTTCAACTGTTCAAGGGTGCGTTTTTTTATTGCGACGGTCCCGATATCAAAAATGTTCGCAATAAAACAGATTGTCTTGCGGATAAGCGTAACGTATGGCTCAACAGGAAATATAATTTTGATGATCTCGGGAAGGCGCTTATGTCTTTGTTCGTTTTGTCATCCCGAGATGGTTGGGTCAACATCATGTATACCGGATTGGATGCGGTTGGTGTGGATCAACAGGTAACAACTTCTTCGATCGATATACTCTACATATGTTATGTATATTTCTTGCCTCTAGTATAGTTATGTACTTTAACTGTATCTAATATGGAACAGCATGCAATATCAAACACTGTAATATCGAGTAAACCACGTAACTTATACAAAATTATGCAAACGTATTAATTATTTTACATGCATTATTTTATTTTTATTTTATACATTATAGAGAGAGAGAGAAAATAACAACATAAAATATTTTATATGTAAAAAGTATTAACAAAGAAACAAAAGCAAGTAATTTTTCGAATGATCTGATTTATCATTTTGGTGAAGAAAATAATCGTTTTAATGCGTTTAAACTTATTTGAAATTTATATTCATTGTTTGACAACGTGTATAAATTTCGTCTTGAAAAAAGTAATATGTCTCTACGTTTCAAAAAAGTTTCAAATTATGTTTTCCATGTTAAATTAAGTTACTCTAAATGACAGATATATCAAAATGTCACATTAATATTTGAATTTTATTTCAGCCGATCGAGAATTATTCGGAATGGCGTTTATTATATTTTATCGCGTTCATACTTCTGGTTGGATTCTTCGTTCTGAACATGTTCGTCGGTGTCGTCGTTGAGAACTTTCATAGATGTCGAGAGGAACAAGAAAAAGAGGAACGTGTTAGAAGGGCCATGAAAAGGGCTCAACAAATGGAAAAGAAACGACGAAGTTGGTCAAATGCAAACAAATTCTTATCAATAATTTTAATATGATTAAATAATTTTCACTTTATTTAATAAACCAATGCCTCGTATTATTTTCTTATCTTTCTTTTTTTAGAAATGCACGAGCCACCTTATTACACGAATTATTCAAAAACACGACTTTTCATTCACAACGTCGTAACTTCGAAATATTTCGATTTGGCAATAGCTGCTGTAATCGGTTTGAACGTTGTAACAATGGCAATGGAATTTTACATGATGCCAAAAGCGCTAACTTACGCTCTTAAAATATTCAATTACTTTTTCACCGCCGTTTTCATCCTGGAATCGCTCATGAAATTGTTGGCACTTGGTATACATCTTTATTTGAAGGACAAGTACGAGAATTCATATATATATCCTCTTATTGTTGGACTATTCTTTGTCTTTCTGTAAAACTCGTCTAATTCTATATATACACACATATATTTTTATAAATAAAATTTTTAATCTATTTCGTATCACATAAAAACTTTTTCATTAAACTTGCCATTTCTTCTCTCTATCTCTCTCTCTTTCTCTCTCTTTTTCTATCTTCTCTTCCTATTTCCATTAAATTCTATTACCATTAGATCTTCTTGATTTATATATCTCATAAAAAAAAATCTTTTATCTCTGTAGATGGAACCAATTGGACGTAGGGATCGTTATATTATCAGTAGTCGGCATCGTTTTGGAAGAAGTTGAATCAAAGATTATACCCATCAATCCGACCATCATTCGCGTTATGCGAGTATTACGTATAGCCAGAGGTAAGTTGTAACGAAACAAATAATTTAATGTATCTAATTTAGATCGTTATGATGAATAAATGATTTTCCTTGATCTGTTTTTTAGTTTTAAAACTGTTAAAAATGGCCAAAGGTATACGCGCCCTCTTGGACACGGTAATGCAGGCGTTACCGCAAGTTGGCAACTTGGGTTTGCTATTTTTCTTACTGTTCTTTATATTCGCGGCCCTTGGAGTAGAACTGTTTGGTCGATTAGGTAAAAATCTTTTGTTTTGTTCTTTTATGCAAATTTGTTTTTTATTATTCCTTCTGTAAATTTTGGAATTCCTTTTTCTTTTTTATGATTATTATTCTTCAAGTGTTTTTTACAAGATTATAAAATAATTAAAAATTGTAGAATGCAGCGACGAAACACCTTGTCAAGGACTCGGTGAACACGCACATTTCAGTAACTTTGGTATGGCCTTCCTTACTCTCTTTCGCGTAGCTACAGGTGATAATTGGAATGGAATAATGAAGGATACACTTAGGGACGATTGCGACGAAGCTACGGATTGCGTGAAAAATTGTTGCGTAAGCACGATCATCGCGCCTATATTTTTCGTCATTTTTGTACTAATGGCGCAATTCGTACTGGTCAATGTGGTCGTAGCGGTTTTGATGAAACACCTAGAAGAAAGTCATAAACAGGCACGCGATTTTCAATTGAATTAAATCAATTTGTATGATTTTAATTTAGAATATTATATAATTTAATGGGAATAATTAAAATGTTTTATTATTTTAGATGGAAGATGAATTGGATATGGAAACGCAATTGGAAAGAGAATTGGCCGCGGAACGAGAGGAACTTCTCGAGGTTGAAGAAGAAGAAGAAGAGGGTGGTGGTATGCTTGAAAGGCGGATCGTTGGTGATGAAGTTGATGAGGACGATGAAAGAGAATTCGATTCGATAATAGGAACAAGAGAGAAGATTATTATTAGACCCGGTCTTGCCAAGGTTCGTTCCTTACCGGCCAATTTCATTTATAATCCGCCAAAGGAAAGAAGTTTCGATGGTAAGTTTAAATAAGAAAATTTGATCTCATTATTTATTAGATTGATTTTAATTTTAATTATAATTCAGTCATCCATCAAGTATTTTAATAGTAAAATTGTAAAAAAATTATTAAAACGGAGTAAATTAATTTGATTTACAAATAATTTATTTGACTTTATTCAGTAGATATATATATTAATACTAATATTATAATAAATATTATTTTCGTTAGATACTTCAGTTTCTGTGGCAATAAATGTGAAAGAAAGACGTCGTAGTTCGTGTTTCCGCTCGTATCCAAGACCGTCCAAGTTTAAATCGAAGCGCCGTCAGACCTTCCATTCGAGTAACCAACGAAGGTCTTTGTTACCAATGCACTTCGAGGTCACCGAGGTCTTTGAGAAACCTGTATGTAATTTGAGCGTACCGCGAATCATTCCTCATCGTATTTACGAGATGGAAAATCAGGAAGCTATACCACAGGAGAGTCAATATCTTCGAGTAAGTAAGAAAACTCATATAAAATCGTTTGATTAAATATTGTATATAAATAATACGATAAAATATTTTCTAAACAAAAAAATAAATAAATAAAGGTAACGACGAGCAATAACAAAGAGAACAAGTCGTTCCTTTGCGTGAGCAGACCAATGGCAAGTTCCTCGCCAGTAACACCGAGTGGTTCAACGTCGACTCTGACCACCGGTCTGAGATATCAAAACGAACGTTATTTGTTACCGACAGCCGAGATCTATCCTTCTAAGGCAAGTTTCTCTCGTAGAATCTCGACCGATACTCAGTCGCAATCTGAGATAAGTGCTAGCGTTGCTACGGGAAGTAGTACGAGAACGGGGAGCAATGCTAGCGAGTATACTACTACAAGTATTCGAACGAAAAAGATCGAAGGTAAGTTGATCGTCTTTCGATAAAAAAAAACAAAATGATATATCCAAATTAACTCATTTTTTCCTTTACTTCTCGTACTTTAGGTACTAACGGGGAAAATAATACGAGGTTATCAAAGGATAATAAGGACAAGCAACAACAACGGGTGAGTCAAACGGAAGAAGAGGATCTCGACGTGCAATCAGTGATCAACGAAAGAAGGCCGTCCAGGCTGAAAAGTGCAACCTCATCCGGTACATCAACGACCGGTACCAGCGATCAATGTGCTCAAATCGTTAGGGTCGAAAGTTTCGCTCATATTTATGCGGCCGAGGAATTATTGCCGGACGAGTTACCTGACGAAAGTTCGGCGTTTGAAAATGTCAGCGAAAGTGGTACGAGCGGAAGTATCAACGAGAGTGGTACTGTGAGTGGTAGTGATGTTAGTCGTAGTATTAGCGGCCTCGTACAGGTGGTAGAGTGTACTACTTGTCCTGCTATGAGCACGGACGTTAGAATATACGTCGATGATACGGATTCTATCAGCAGCAGCGGACACTTTGGAAGAACTTTTGCTGAGGATGATGACGATGACGATGAGACGCCTGATATAACTATGTCGATTTCAGCGCCGATCGACGAACAAGTAGAAAAAGATAACGTTGAAAATGTGAGAGATGAGACACCACCCTTGGCTGGCCCTTCCGATCCCTCTTAATAACTAACATTGCTGCCGTGATTTAATTCGCGACTAGGAAGAAATACGTAGTATAATCGACGGCGTCGATGATGGGCTCTATAAGAAAGACTGTAGTGCATGACAATATAGTCGTTATATTCTAGTCACTTTGCCGCCGTTAAAATGCCAAAGAGAAATATGAGAATATAGAAGAGGAGGGGGATAACGGAAACGCGAATATGGGTTGGAAATGAAAATAAGAGGGATTATTAAAAAAAATGTCTCTTATTTCAAGAGTTTTTAGAGAAAATATTCGTCGTTCGAATGGTGACCATTAGAGATAATATATTAGATGAGACAAAGATGTTATATTTTCATCTAGATCTCGTAACTTGATTTGAGTTATCGAACTCGTATCATTATCCGAAGCTAAGAATAATACCTAGGGGGGAAGGTAGTAGTCGTTGTTTTTCGGAACTGTTCGATCAACTTTTCGACTAATTATTTTCTCTCTTAATTTATTTCCATTCGATTCTCCTTGTCTCGTAATTTTATTTAACAAGATTCATTATTATTTTATCGAGACAAATCATCGTTTATATTATCTTTTTTACGTTTAAGACAATTAACTTTGATAATTGAAAATCATTGAACATGATTGATCTATTATCTCTCTCTTATACACACATACACATATATACACACACGTTAGAATGATACATTTAGAGGAATCGAACGAAAAGTCGATCGATCGGCTCGAATCGAAATCGGCAACCCTATCTTTCTTTCCTAAGTACGACGGTATCTCGTTTAAAGAAAATTTCCACACGAAGAAAAAAAACTTACACAGTAAAACAAAAAAAGTTAATGGGGGGCGACATACACAACACGTATAACGCACTGAAAACTTATGACAATCTCTTATTGCCAGCGGTATCGAAACTCAGTTCCCGCTAATGAAGCGTCATGGAAGTCATATTCGTAGGAATTGGTAGATCAAGAAAAATAAAAAGAAGAAGAAGAAGAAGAAGATGATTCTTAAGATGAAGAAAAGAATAAGAAGAATAGTAGAAGAAAAATAGCAGAAAATAGAGAAAAAAAGAAAAAAGAAAAAAAAAAGGAAATGAAGAAAAATAATTGAATAATAAATAAAATTTAGCGAATTTGGTAGATATCTCTTAGGTAGATTTAAAAATCGAGTCTACGCGACAAAAATTACAATTTATCGGACCACACTTCCTCGCCTTTCCACATTTTACTCGCGTTTATCGCCATCAGGAGTCGTAGAATGAAAATGAATTAGACGATTATTATTGTTGAACGTGAGTTTAATTGAAAATGGAAAAAAAAGAAAAAATAAAAAACAAACCAAAAAGAAAAAAAAAAAAAAACGAGAAAAAAAAGGAAGACGATCGCAATAAATGTTATTTCGAAAGGGCGAGTTTTAATAATCCATCTTTCGTTTAGGAAGAAAGAAAGAAAGAAAGAAAAAAAAACAACAATAAAAATTGAAAAACTTCTTCGTTGGCTTTTAACTCTCGGCGAAAAATTTTCGCTCGATGACACACACACACACACACATACACACCGTTCGATCTAGTCAAATGCGTTTAGATATTAAAAAAAAAAAAAACAAAAAAAAACAAAAGATACAAGGAAAAGAAAAATGAAAAAAAAAAAATAAAAATAAAGGAAAAAAGGTTCATTCGAGTATATATATATGTACATACATACACGCATATTAAATATATTCATTCATACGCGTACTTTAGATAAATAAATAGCGTCTATCCCTCCTGTGGCGAATCACGAGTGAAATCGTTCGATCCTCATCGTTTAATTCTCTTCGTTTATCTCTTTTTCTATCCTAGAACGTTCTTCTCGTTAACATCTGTGATATACTTTAATCGTAGTGTATTTCCTATAACGACGAGCAGCAAACATCGGCAAACGAACGGGTAAAACTTTATAATAATATGGGCATAGAGAAAAGGAAAAAATATAAGAAAACACAAATGAAAGAAAGAATATATTAAAAAGAAAAAAAAAAAAGAAAAAATAAAATAAACGCATATGTCAGATAAAAATAATAGAAAAGAACGGGAGTGGGGGGGGGGGGTTGGAAAAAGAGTAGCTGAATTTTTGTTCACGATTATTATGAAAAAGACTTGAACAAAACGGCGGATGGAAAATCCGGTGTCTCGAGGTAGAACAAT